TTTTGATATCTCATCGGGATCTCTAACCATAGACCTGTACTATTGCAAAGATTATATTCCCTTAGATCCCACTAAACAAACTAAAATTTCATTGTCAATTAGTTGTTCGACAGTGTGATCACAAATTAAAACTGAAATTTCTTTCACATAATTACGTTTGAAATTATAAGGGTGTCTCTCTATCCAAAAAGAAAAAAAAGATTCCGATGCAATTTGAACCCAAGGAAGGTATTGATTATACCGATCTCAAAGAAAAGTCCTCAAAAAAGGTTTATGGGGCATTTTGGACCTGACTGCATTGCTCAAGTGTATAACTGTAATGTATGTATACACTATATAATTGGTTGTTATACAATACAGTATTGTAGATATACCAAATATATACACTTCCAATACACCTTAAATATAGACAAACATTAATCATTTGATAGCTGAGAGCGTAAATTTTCTCATGGCAACAGTATCATCTGCTACTTCTCTATTCAAAATTCGTTATCCTGAGCAATTCCATATTGGGCTCCTTCCATTTTTCCCTTTTGGAATTAATCAAATAATCATTCATTATATATATATATATATATATATATATATGCAAATAATATTTTCAATCGACTATTTATGTAACAATTCCATTTAATTTTTGCAAAATCCGCCAAAATTTCATGAAGTTTAGAGAACCGCCAACGTCAAAGGCGCGAGAACTGTAAATTTCCCAAATTCTCCTTACTCTCTTTACTGTATTGCAATAAACAATAAAAAGGCGCAAAAGTTGAAAGTGAGCATCACCACACATTTATCCTCACATAAGGACATAATATCCAACGCTCCATATCATGCCAGCTCATCTATCCGCGCGCCTCCCCGACTAACCAATAAGATTTCACCTCTGCCTCTATATATAGATTGCACAACAAACCCGGATAAAATTATCAACTCACCCTTAAACAGCCGCTTTCAATTTCTCCTTTCATAGTTTCTCTTTCAATTCCAATGGCACCAAAGGCAGAGAAGAAGCCAGCAGAAAAGAAGCCGGCGGAGGAGAAAAAGTCCACCGTCGCCGAGAAAGCTCCGGCGGAGAAGAAGCCAAAGGCCGGGAAGAAGCTACCAAAGGACGCCGCTTCCGGCGAGAAGAAGAAGAAGAAGGCCAAGAAGAGCGTTGAGACCTACAAGATCTACATCTTTAAGGTGCTAAAACAGGTGCATCCTGATATCGGGATTTCCAGCAAGGCTATGGGGATCATGAACAGCTTCATCAATGACATTTTTGAGAAGCTGGCTCAGGAATCTTCTAGATTGGCCCGTTACAACAAGAAGCCAACTATTACTTCTCGGGAGATCCAGACTGCTGTGAGACTTGTGCTTCCTGGTGAATTGGCTAAGCATGCTGTTTCTGAGGGAACCAAGGCTGTTACCAAGTTTACTAGCTCTTGAAGTTCTGATGAGTTAGAATAGTTCTTGGGTCCATCCTGATATTTGAGTTTCTATGGTTGTTTAGAATTAGGGTTTATTTGTATTAGATACTATTTTACCATTTTCTTTCGTTTTTTTGTTGGTGAACTTTTGGATCATCTCGATCCATTATGTGTAGTTCAGATTTGAAATACAATCCTTTAATGGTTTTGTCTCAATTTACTGTATTGCAAATTTTTATGCTTTTGTCAAATCTTGCACATTAATTCACCCAAAAAATTCTGAAAGTTGAATTGAACTGGCAGCTTTTATGTTCCAATGGCATTTGTCAAAGATTGATACATTTAGTCAAAGTCGAAAAACTCTTAAATCTCGTCTAATTTCTAATACTAGAAATTTGCCCTTTTTTCTTCAAGAAGATGATATATAGTCCTTTTCATTAATATTTTAATTTACCGTTTTTGATTCCTCTTTCATTTTCAACAAGAATCAGTTGATAATAACTCCTTTTTTCCCGTTCTCTTAAATCTGTTCCATCTTTCATTTTCAACAAAGAGTCCATTTATCGTAACTCCTTTTTCCACGTTCTATTAAACCTCTTCATAACTCACAACTTGCACAACCTATCTCTGCTTCAATTTTGTTCTTTCAACAGGAAATTTTCAGCTATGGGGAATTCCTTTCTCCTCGAGTTCAATGTGTCTGATCGTTTCTACCTGTGTCGTTTCTGCCAAAACCACCTTGCTCTTTGCAAAGATTTCAGTCTCAACTACTCGGTAATCTTTTCCCTTTTTCGCCCATTTCTAAGTAATTGTCATTCTTGAGTCAAATTCATTTAGCTTGCAAGCTGAATAATCTTCGCCTTTTGTTGAAAAAGGACGGCTTCCATTGTTAGATAAGTTTTGAATCTTAAATGCATTTTATCAAAGTACCGCCAACATTCTTTTCTTTCTTCGTCATTCATTTTGAAATACAATCCTTTAATGGTTCTGTCTAAATTTACTATATTGCAAATTTTTATGCTTTTGGGTTTGTTTGATAGGGTGGAAAAATGTTTTCTAATTTTTCCATGTTTGGTTAACTTAAAATGTTTGGAAAATGTTTTCCAAATCAACTTATTTTTCTTAAATTTATGGAAAATGACTTCCTTATCAAATTGAGGAAAACATTTTTCAATATTCTACTTCATCTTAGGTAATTTATTTTTTTAACCCTATCCATATGTTGTACCCGACCCTCCCCATTCAAAAAAAATTAAAATTTTTAAGTTTTCTTATTTTTTAAATTTCAAATATTAGGGTTGAGATATGATTTTTCAAGCCCATTTAAAATTAGGTCTTATAAGTCCTGCTCATATAAACCCTTGGCCCTTGAGGCTTGATCAGGGCCGGGCAAGGTCGACCCATGGGTCAAAACTTTTTATTGAAGAGTAACTTACAATAATTTCTCACTAATAGTCACGCTATGTTGTAATATTATGATTCTTACCAAATTTTGGTACAATACATGTATCTCGAAATATATGAACTCAAAATTAGGTTAATATGTTCTAGATACACTCTATCCAAGTAGATTCACATGTATCTAGGATACACAAACAAATCTCGCGCCCTCGCCTCCCTCCCATCTTGCTTGTCACTCTCTTATCCGCTTGGACATATGATATGCGAGATATACGCTAATTACACTAGATTTTTCGCTTGTGTTATTGAAACAACACTATTGTTTGTCATATTTAATTTGAAAATCTTCTCATTTTCTTGATGGTATAAAATTATAAGAAAAGAAAAAAAAAGGCTAGCCCACCCCCAGCCTTCGACCCTTCTAGGGTTGCGTTGAGTTGAGCATTTTCAGGGCCTTCCAAATGAAGGACCGATCCGCCCTAGCCCTTCAAATTCCTTGGCCCGCGAGGCATGAGCCGGGTGGGGCTGGGCCGGCCCTTTTTACAGCACTGCTACCACCAAACCAGCCCCCTCCCTAAAAAAAATAATTAAATATTATTTTTGAAAATGTTTCAAATTTTAAGATTTTTTTACCTCACCCAACCCCTACCAATCCTACTCCCTACCCGACCAAAAAAAGTTGCTTCTGAAAAATATTTTTAAAAACACTTTTTATGCCACTCCCCCCTCCAACCCCCAAGGCCACCTCCTCCCCTGCCACCCCGTCATATCTTTTTTTAGAAAAAAATAATTTTAGAAAATGTTTCAAATTTTAAGATTTTTTTACCTCACCCAACCCCTACCAATCCTACTCCCTACCCGACCAAAAAAAGTTGCTTTTGAAAAATATTTTTAAAAACACTTTTTTATGCCACTCCCCCCTCCAACCCCCAAGGCCACCTCCTCCCCTGCCACCCCGTCATATCTTTTTTTTAGAAAAAAATAATTTTAGAAAATGTTTCAAATTTAATTTGTTTTTCATTTTTTACGCCATTCCCTTACCCCCTACCTCCCCACCGCACCACCCCGTCAAATTTTTTAAAGAAAAAATTATTTTTGAAAAATATTTCAAACTTAATTTTTTTTTTCATTTTTACGCTACCCCCACCCAGGCCATCTCCGTCAAAAAAATATTTTTTCATTCACCAACCAAACACTAAGAAATATTTTCCAGAAAATATTTTCTACTTACCAATCAAACATGAAAAAATAAGTTAGAAATCCATTTGTTTTCCAAAAAACATTTTCCTACCAAACACACCCTTTATGTCAAATCTTGCACATTAATTCACCCAAAAAATTCTTCTGAATTCAAAGAGAAGTTGAATTGAACTGGCAGCTTTTATGTTCCAAATAACTATACCTTTGAATTACTGGGAAAGAGTGATACATATAGTCAAAGTCGAAAAACTCTTAATCTCGTCTAATTTCTAATACTATAAATTTCCTGTATTTTATCAAGAAGATGCTATATATAGTTCTCTTTTCATCAGTTGATAATAACTCCTCTTTTCCCGTTCTCTCAAACCTGTTCATCTTTCATTTTCAACAAAGTCCATATATCGTAACTCCTTTTTCCAAATTCTATTAAACCTCTTCATAACTCACAACTTGCATCACCCATCTCTGCTTCAATTTTGTTCTTTCAACAGGAAGTTTTCAGTTATGGGGAATTCCTTTCTCCTCGAGTTCAATGTGTCTGATCGTTTCTACCTCTGCCGTTTCTGCCAAAACCACCTTGCTCTTTGCAAAGATTTCAGTCTCAACTACTCGGTAATCTTTTCCCCTTTCCTTTTTCTCCTATTTCTAAGTAATTGTCATTCTTGAGTCAAATTCATTTAGCTTGCAAGGGGAATAATCTTCGTCTTTTATTGAAAAATGATGGCTTCCATTGTTAGACAAGTTTTGAATCTTAAATGCATTTTGTAATGCCTACTATTTATTGAGTTTGTAGCAATTAGCAGTTAGGGAAGTACAATCTAGTAATGACTACTATATTTACAGATGAAAACTTTTACAAGTTCTCTATACTTGCTGAGTAGACTCCACAAGTAACTGGTACAATGATGACAGTTTCCATTTCAATTATCTCACTATGCCGTGTTTTTCAGCCTGTGACAGGGGTGACTGGAGGTGTAGTTGATGAAGTGTAAGTTTTTTTGGTACTAATATCTTGGGAAAGTTTAATGGAAGTTGTCTACACAGGTCGAACTAAACTGCAAGATGAAATATGCAGGGTGAATGTGCATGTAAACGAAGCAGAGAAGCTAAGGCAACTTGGTCCTCACAAAGTCGCAGATGTCTACTGTAACAAATGCAAGAATCTACTGGGATGGAAATTTGTATGACACAAAAATCCCAAAACCTCAAATTTGTAAAATTTCATGAACGAGCAAAATTATCTGACATGATCCCTTTTTTCAACCCCTGTCAGATCGAAGTATATGAAGAGGATCCAGTTGCAAGAAAAGACATCGTTATGTTGCAAATGTGAGATTAATATGCTACAAACTCATGATTTCATATTGCATAAAATTGTTAATCTCACTTTTTCTTTTATCCTTTCACAGGGGGAAGCTGCAGGAAAGGTATGGAAATCAAATAGAAGAAGCAGTTGAACCTAGAGCAAATGCAACAACGGGAGTGCCAGTAGTTAAGGAAATATAAACCTATGGTAGAAGATTCTAGCAAGGAGATCTCTTGAAGAAATCAATTAACTTGTACAAGAGAAACTTTGAATGCCCTTTACTTTGTAATTTTACCATATTTTTCATAAGCTTTTCACGTTTCTTTTATTGCTATATGTACCCTGATATGGCACTGCAACATCCCACACCTGAACAAGAAAAAACGATTTATACACTAGTTTATTTTTGCCAAAAGGGATCTATACACTACTGACACAATTCTGGGAATAATATTGTTATCGTTATCATGCTTCACGATTGTAGCCTCTGAATAAGGGCTCTTGTGCTGTTTAGCATCAGTTATTGTGCAGATTTGAAGTTGCAACTCCGATTCTATGGAATCTAAAGTACACTCATAAACACCATAACCAGAATAACCCATTATAGTCTATCCAACTTGACTTTATATCCTTATATTTATCCCGGTTCTTTGGTACTGAACCACTATGTTTTATTTTCCGGAACCTGGTGAAGCTCCAAAACTGTAACTGTACCACTCAGTAATCAAGGACCAACCTGGCTCTTAAGCATATTTTCTTGGGTTCTCAGCCTTAGTCAAGTAGATTAACAGAAAGGCGTTGTATTGGGAAGTTTGGAATTGCCTGTAGTCAAGCTATTCTGCATCTCAGACTAAGAATGAGATATCTTCATTAGCATTACTGGTGCTAGCAATTGCTCAACAAAGAGTGGGTGAAACTTGCAGAACTTAAATATCAATATTTCAGGCAGAGGAGGGCAGAATTCCCATGTTTCCTATACTGTCTCCTCTTTATATGTAAAGACGAAGATTGTAAACATGTCAATTCTCTCAAACTCATGAGTCAAGACTATAAATCAAAGCTTACCTCCTGGAAATTCCTTAATTGAAGATCAATGTCTTCTTCAGATTTCATTTCTACCTAATAGTACACAAGATTGGAGTTTTATCTGCTAAAAGGAAGTGAAGATATAGCTAGCAGCTTTTCATTTGCCTAAGTGCTATCTCTACGCATAGATTAGTCAACTCACATTATTAAATGCACTAGGATTTCAAACTGAGTACAAAAATTTCAACCGCAACAGGATTAAATGCACAGAAGGAATAACGTTAAACTTCTAATGCTAACAACAAACAATTTCAAACATTTTCATTGCAACAGCAAATAAAAGCCAAAATACTCAGGATTCCAGGTTTATGAACGGTTTTTTGATTCATGATAACTTGCACCAAAAGATTATTTTAGAAAGCACAATGTGAGGACAGAACTCTACAAAGTGCTGAATGCAAAGACATACAATTCTGCAGATCCAATGTCATCAAGGTTTAAGGGATGCCCCTACTTTTCCAAGGTCCTCAAGTGCCTTTGAGATTTGCTCCTCGGTCAATCCCTCCAGTCTGATGCCCCTTTCAACTCCCAGGTCTATAAGCATTTAAAAGTAAAATCCATGAATAGAAGGTCAAACCACAGGAACAGGGTAAAGATCACTTAAAACAACTTGACTACACCAGATTTGAAATAAACTTTGGCTTTAAAGAAAACCGAAAATTATACTTCATAAAATTTGTCCATAGAAGAACGTAACAAACATTTGCAATGGTGTCAAATAACTTGGAAACATCCCAAAGTGGAAAGGATATATTAAATTAGAACGGATTGAGTATTATTATGAGAAAACGAGATATTCTACATGCCTAAAAGACCTAACCACGGTAAGGTCCATTTGAAGAATAAAAAAAGTATCACGTTAATGAGATGGTGGTCTCATTATAAGACTTGAACAATCCTCCTCCCCTTGAACTAGAATTTGGGGTGTGAGTTAGGTCAAAATCTAATTTTACAGGTCCATTCATTATACTCAAATCTTAATCACTCTCACTACATCCGTTACATCATCATAGAATATTTCTTTAGAGTCACATATCACTCCTTCGTGCTTATTTGTTTTGATGTGAACTTCATTATGCAATTTATGAATAAGATTTCTATCAATCCCTTACCTGATCAAATGTTAATAGATTATTTACCAAAAGTCTACATATAAGTTTCAATTAAGCTGGAACATAAGAAAAATGAAAATGTAACAGAAACAATGAAAATGCTAGCAGTCAAAGGCAAAAGAACGATTTTTTTTTTGTGTGAATTGCCTAATCAGAATTTCAATATACAAAGCTGATTAAAATTCTGTAGAGCTATAAGAAAACCGAAATAATTACCATATCTCGCCCAGAGCTGAGGCTCGATTGAACTGGCCTCACGAATCAAAATAGGTAATTTGGGGTTTTGGGTCTTGAGATCTCTGTAGTTCTTCTCAATGAACGCCCTACATAAAGATGAAACAAATAACTCGGGATTAACTTATCACTCTATCAATCAATCAACTACATCTCAATTGGAGCTCATTTCATTGCAGTACTGATAAAAATTGTGAAAATACCTAGTGGCGGCACTTTCAGATGACGATGGAGAGAAGAGGATGCGAAGCTCCTTCAGGTTCCGAGAGAGATTTGATCTCCACGCCATTGTTGCACAAATTCACCTTCAACTATTCCCTAGGCTTTACAAATATAAATAAACCAAAAACATCATGAGGTGTGATTTATGCTTTAACAGTTGTACTCAAAAATTACATTGACGAATTTAACCTTATACTAAGTGTGGACCAGTTTTTCTGAATCTGGACTTCCCAGGGATAACCAGTCCATTGGGCCTAGAGTGAACTATTATGGAAAAATTACAGAAATCCCATCTTTTAGTTTACTTATTACCATTATCCCTTATAAGTTTTACAAATCTTCAAAAAATTTCATTTTCGCATATCAAATTAGTGTATTCCGCGCATCAAATTAGTGTATCATGTATAAAATGTACATCAGATTAGTGTATCATGTATAAATGCAATGTATCTTACTTAATGATTAATGTATCTCGCGCATCATATTAATGTATCAGCGCTTATATTATTGTATCCGTTTGAGGAATTTCTATCATTATAAACTTTTAAGGGATATATTGTAACTTTGCCTTAAAAGTATGTGATTTCTGTAATTTGCCCTATTATTTATTACAAATAGATATATCTTGTGTGATTCACATATATTTGAGATACAGAACAAATTTTGCTCACCTCTTTTTCTATTTTAGTGAATTTGATAGTAAAAATATACGTATCTAGATGTATCTTCCTCAATATATGACATGAAAACTCTTAACTAGTGGTAATATATATATATATATATATATAGAGAGAGAGAGAGAGAGAGAGAAATATATATAATAATAGTGTATATATATGGTGGTAGAGTATGTTTAATTATGTAGTGTCGCCTTTAATTTATTTTTTTTGTAGCCTTTTATAACAATAAAATGGCCATTTGACACTTTTGCCTTATAAAATTTGGTCCGTCTTCGTCTTCTTCTTCTTGTTGCATTTTCTTCTATTTTCATTTTTAATTTTTTGACATACTGCAAACGTTAATATTTTTTCGTGACTTGTATATCAAAAAACTTAAAATATTGAGAGAATTTCATATCTAAAATTTGAGACTGCTTAGATGTAATGTTGAGTTGATCAAGATAAAATAGTCAATGAATACTTAATGTATAGTCAATGTATACTTCATATATAGTTAAGTTATATTCAACCTTTTGATTGTATCATAATGTATATTCATTGTATAGCTTATGTATATGTAAGCTATATTGTATTGTTAGTGTATATTTTCTATGACTTTTGACGAACTATAGCGTATAGTCAGTGTATCCTTATTCCTTCCTATTACTTTTGGCTATTTTTTATATGAATAAAACATGATTATATTAATTGTAAGCTAATTACTTTATTGAACTGTCACCATTTTACATACCCGAGCGAAGATCTCGGTGACATATAGGGATGATAATGGTGTGGGGTGAATGCGGGGTGGGGTAGGTTTAAGGCTAATACGGGGCGGGGCGGGTTTAAGGCTAATACGGGGCGAGGCGGGTTTAAGATTTTGCGGTGCGGGAGGGATGCAAGGCTGGTTGAAGTGAGTTTTTTTTTAAAACTTATGAAGTGGCAGAGCGGGTTGCATGCATATGTGATTTTATGCGGGTTCAATAAAAAATTATACAATTTCATACCTGTTTACCAATTGACTTTAAAATATATTTTTTTAAGTCATTATCTATTAAATTAATATAACTTGATGAAACATGAATTTATTTGATTGAATTTTATTTTTAGTATCAAACTTAACTAGAAAAAGAAAATATTTAAAAAAATTATGCGGGAGGGGGTGGGAGAATTGAAAATGAAAAATATTGTTATGTGGGAAAGATTAAAAATTATGCGGGTTAGGCACAACCCGCCCCTCCCCCGCCCCTGCCCATTGTCATCCCTATATTTACGACCCTCTAATATGTTTTAACGTTGAGAAATTACGTTTTAAGATTCAAAAATTGATTTTTTAGTATAAAAGTACTTCTTCTCAGTCCTCTTTGTTCTCTCTTTTGTCACTCTCTTGCATAAGATACATTTTTATTATTTACATCGAGCATTTAAATATAAGTGTGACCATAATCATAAACTACACATGCGAGACGCACGTACGCTAAAACTAGTATTTATGTCATTCCAATCTATTTTAACTTTTCAAAATTCAAGAACTGTTTTTTCCAATATAAAAGTACCTCTTCTCAGCTAGTCTTTTTTCATTTATTTTCAGCAGTTATCTTTGATCTTTTTTCTCCATTTTATTCTTTGTTCTGTACAGGTTCTTGATTGACAAAGTTGATACAATGGTGGTAATTACTTACACAAAGGATCATTTTCGCGAAGAGGATTTAATCTGTTGTAATTTTTGCATCTGTTTTTTCTTTCATTTTTGAATGTTCTGAGTTATTCTTGCACATCTATTATCAATTTCATTTCTTTATGGTTTTTATACAATGAGAATGGTGTTCATGATGTTTACTGTTAGCCATAAATTTTGCAACCAAATTGAACTACAATTCTTATAATATTACAAGTGGAGTATTATAATTACGTAATTACTACACTTATGTTTATTAATTACACCGAGGAATTATTATGTTTAAATATAAGTTTGATCATAATGTAGAATACACGTGCGAAGTGTACGTCGCTAGAACTAGTATTTTTATGAAAATTTTAAATAGTAACTACAATTCCTATAATATTAAAAATTATCATAATTACATAATTATTGCACTTACGTGTATTATTTACATCGAGCTACGTTTGAATATATACGTAAACTGCACGTGCCGTACACAAACTAAAAAAATTATAATTTTTTAAATTAGTGAA